TCTTCTAAAGTCCAGTTGGAATGTTACTTCCTTCCAGAAGCACTCTCTTTCTCCTGTGAACTATACTTTATTTGTACCTCTTTACTGTACTGAACACATCCTAATTTATAGTGCCATGTATGTATGTGTCTAGCCCATGGTGGCTAAGCCTGTGTTATGCATACTTGTATCCTCTCCTAGCACCATGTTTTGGCACACAGCACTAAATATCTATTGAATGAATGATGCTAACCAACATTTATTAGTTATCTACATTGTACTAAGTACTTCACTAAAACTGTGATCCAGAAATTCAAAACTAGGAATAAATGCAACATTGCATTCTTAAATACTGAATCTATTTAGTAATAGAAGCTAATAACCCTAAATAATTATGTTTTACAGGATTCTTGGTTATGGGCTTACCACTGAAATCCTCTTGTCCTCAATAGTGTCCTAGGACTTGGCAGATTGGTTGTATGTGATGTATGTCTTATATCCCCAAATCCTTGTAGAGAAGTTACCCTATAGCAGCCTTTATATTTTGAGCACATAATCCATTTTTAAAAGTTTTATCTTTTATTTGCAAAGGTTTTTATATATAAACATAGAAGATGGCAGCAGCCTGAAAGAAATAGACATATTTTATCTAAAATACATAGCACAGGGAAAAAGGCAATTTGACCTCTAGCTCAAACAATCTTATTTCATGTCATTCCTGAAAACTTATGCATATAGCTGTCAGTCATAATACAAAAACAGAATTTCTGCTGCTGTGACTATGATTATCAAAAGAATAGCTGAATATCAGATCCTAAGTGTACCAATGACCTGACTAAAAATAATCATACTAATATAGACGCAGTATGGCATAATAGGTAAAGGACTAGCCTTGGTAGCAGGAAGACCCAGATTCTAGTCCTGCTTCTGACATATACTCCCTTGTTTGACCCTAAGCAAATCACTGAACCCTGTAAGACAACAGGATACAGAGGAACTGCCAATCTGCACATGTAAAGGGAATTTCACCCTGGGAGTTCCATTACTCCACTGGTAAAATCAAAGGTCTGACCAAAAAGCAAATATATTCTAGATTTGAGCCTCTCTAGGTTTCTGGGATCTACAGAAATACATCATTCTTGGCATTTCAAATAAGTATTTTAAAAGCATAGCTAACAAATCTTTAAAATATTAAATCAAATAAAACAGTGCAGACTCATCCCTCTCTCTCGTCTCCCACCTTGGCCAATAGTAAACAAAATGAATGAACTCATTTTTCTACATTGCAGCCTGCCATCCACCATTACTCACCAGGCATGAGTAGTTGTTTGAGTGGCTAATTCCAAAGTCTTTTGCTATTCACTTACTTCTCTCCACTTGGATCTGTCTATTGATGGCTGTTTTTACGATGGTGAATCTGTCCCTTGTTAGCAGAACTCATTCCAAAGGGGAAAAAATTCCAATCTATTTCTCTGAACTTTCTTTGCCTTGCCCACTCACTGACACAGGAATTGTACAGGACAAGCCCACTCATCTCTGTTGCTTCAGTAATTATTCCCTTTGATCCTCCAAAACAATGGGTGGGGCTCCTTCTGTCTCCTTTGTTCACCAAACATTGTGTGTGTTTCTCTCCTGCTTCTCTGCCCCATGTAGGGTCTAAGCAAACCCTAAGCCAAAGGCCCTTCCTTCTTTGCTTGAAAATATTTTCTGGAAATGTATCTTGCCATTAGGAGTGTTTCCAAGTTCAACAATCTCATGCCATTCTAAACCTTTCTCTATATACAAGCCTGTCCCATCTCAATAACACCTATTGTCTAGCACCTTTGTAAATAAATAAATGCTGAGGGAGTAACATCCATTCAGTAACTAAGGTGAATCAGAAACAGCTCTTCAAAATATGACTTCGAAAACGTGAACAAAATCGTTGCCCTGTCTGTACCACAGAGAATGATCAGTACTACATAGCAAATTGGGTCCACAGAAATGTGTACATTTTAGGTAAATAACATTCAATAATGATGAAAATACATCCTATTTAACTCTCCTTTGTAGAATAACAGGTCTTAGACTATTAAAGAAGACTTTTGGTGTTCTTGGCTTACACAGTTATTATTTAGAATTTTACAACTGAAAAACATTTTAAAATTATTTTCATGCCTCTCCCTCATAATATTCCTGCAAAGAATTTTACAGCAAAGGATATCCTGAAAGAAAAGGTCAGTGACTTAACCAAGGCTACAAAGATAACAAGTGTCAGAACAAGAGCTATAATTCACGGATCATATGCTTGACATTCATAACTATGTCCACTGACGCCACACAGCTTTCTGTAATATAGAGTTCTTTTCATATATAATATCTGATTTTTTTACTTGGTTCCTTGATTGAGACCTATCATTTTAGAATCATATCTAATTAATTTGGCTTATAGTTTACAGCTTAAACATCCTCATATTCCAAACTTGAATACAATTCCAAATATTCAGTTCCATATTAGCCAGCCACAGCCATGGCACCCCCTAGGGTGAAATATGTAGTAGTTAATAAGAAACTCCTTCTGTTTGAAGGACTTCTGAGATATTCAAGAACTAGTACTGTGTCTCAATTTTATTACCTGCAGTCAAAAAACACTTCACATAAGATAATCTCTCACAAATGGTTAATATTTTCCACCCTGCCTTTTTCCCCCTAGTTCCACCTATATAGAGCCATGATTTGTGAGTAGAAGTTACTTTAAAGTACAACCTACCCTGTTAAACACACAATATTGTCCTTTCTGTATAAACAGAAATCACATTTGATCAAAGGAGGGTAGGAATAATAAAACAAACATTTATTAAGCTCCTATTACATGCCAGACAATGTATGAAGTACATTATAAATAAATATTATCTCATTTGATCCTCACAATAATACTGGGAGGTAGGTACTATTATTATTCCCATCATACAGTTGAGTTAACTAGGGCAGACAGGGGCTAAGTGACTTGTCCAGGGTCACACAGCTTATAACTGTCTGAGGCCAAATTTGAACTCAAGTTTTCCTAACTCCAGGCCCAGGACTCTATCCACTGTGCAACCTAGCTGCCTTTACAGTGGTGGTTCTATATTTTGACTTTGCAAGGGAAACCTAAATGTTACCATGGTTGTTGTCCTTCATATTCAAAGAGGACCAAAATGACCTCACTATGTTGGGGTCAATGTACAGAGTGTTCACTTGTGGCTAATCAGACCAACAGAAGCTTTTGGAAGGCTCTACCACAAGTCAGGCACAAATAATCTGTAAAATGTTACCATAAATATCTGCTATAAGGTGAGGCAAGCTGAAATGATGGGGCATGTGTAATTCAGCTTATGTATACCTCTATCAGTCAGTTTTTATATTATATCCTCTTTGCCTTTAGAGATACGAGCCTCTCCTACCAAAGGAAGGAGAACAGGAAGGAACATTCCATTCTTACAAGATAACTTTGCAGTTCTTTCATTCCATTCAGCTAATTTAGAAGCTAAAAGATTAAATTGCCAAATGCAGCAAATGGAAAAATAAGACATGAGGCAAGTCACTGCATTCTCTAGGTCTCAGTTTCCTCACCTATAAATGGAAATGATCAGAGCAGGTGTTCTCTAAATTATCTTCTAGCACAAAAATTCCACTATTTTATGCATCTCATATCAAAATCCCTACTAAACATGTAATCTACATTAGCTGCTTACATTTCCTTGCCATCCAATTTACTTACTTCATCCTTCTGGGCCTCAGTTTCCTCATTTTAGAAATGAGATTAGAACAGAAACCTTAAAAGTCAGTTCAAGCACTAAATCCAATTAACCTATAATCATGCTCAACCTGGCTTCTATTCTTTCAACTTTATTAAACTTCACTCTCAAAATGTCATCAATGTATCATTAATTGCTAACTCCAAAGTATTTTTTCGATCTTTGTCTTTCTTGACCTCTCTGACACATTTGATATTGCTGACCACACCTTCTTGGAAGGAGGGAATGGGTTTCAGGTATGGAAGATGGACAGAGACAGGATGGAATGTTATGCGTGAGGAGTGAGAAGGCCACTTTTGCTAGCTTATGCAGTGTGGAAGGGGGAGTTGTATCCAATGAGACTGGAAAAATAGGTGGCGTAGAGTTTTAAGAGCTGAACAATAGCAATAGAAAACAAAAGCAATAGAAAGTCACTGGGCTTGGTTACATAAGGAATCATGTGGTCAGATCTGTACTAGAGGAAAACTACTTTGGCAGCAATGTGGAATACACTAGAGTGGAAATAGACTTGAGGCAGAAAGACCAATAAAGATGCTGTTGCAATACTCTAAGTGAGTGGTGATGATAGCTTGAATTAAGTTGGTAGCTGTGTGAGTGGAAAGACAGGAGAGGGTGTGTTAGATGTTGTAAAGGTGCAAAGATTTGGCAACTGATTGGATGTGGGGCGAGGAAGAGTGGGGAATTTAGGATAATGATGAGATTACAAACTTGGGTAACTGGAAGGATGGTAGTGCCTTTGACAAAAATAGTGACTGTGGGAAAAGCGAGTAGTTATGGAAAAAGATGAATTCAGTTTTAGACATGTTGAGATTCAGATGTTTTCAAGATATCCAATGCGAAAATGTTCAATAGGCAATTAACTGATGATGGAGGACTGAAGCTCAGGGGAGAGATGGGGCTGGATATAGAGGTCTGGGAGTCATCTGCATAGAGCTGATACAAATAAATTTAAACTGTTATTATTTAGTCCCTAGCAAAGGGCTTTGCACGGAGTAGGTATTAACAAATGTTCGTTCACTCAATGGACAAAATTGTGCAAGAACAGTCACAATCTTTTGAATGAATTACTAAATAAGTTTAAGTACATTTACTAAGGGCATTACATAATCATTTACTTTTTGCATTAAACAGGACATTACATTTTTTGTTTGCAAATGTGTCACTACATTATTCATGGAGATAACTATAATTTAAATCCTTCTGGAAGCTAAAAGATGAAATGCAAAAATATTTCATGTGCTTTACCTGCAAAGAGGTTCTACAAGGTCCTTCTCAAGAAAATCATGATCTTTCTTTACAGCTTCGATGTTGATAGGAAATCGTGAATCTATACAAAAGATACATATAAACATTTGATTTAATAATAAAAAAATTCATGAGGACCATAACACCTTGTTTCTGAAATAGAGGGCATCTACTTAAGCCACTAAAATGCTACAACCTGGGTAAAAGCTCTGTTGACAAAGTTTAAGAGAACAGATGGCTTTATTGTAAATGTGATAAGTACTTTAAAAATGGGGAAGAAAATTTGAGCTATGACAACAATTATGTGTCTGACCTTGGGTATGATCAAATATTAAGCAACCTAAGCTTTTCTATCTCGACATTATCAATGAGGTATGTTGACCTGGGCTCTGAGAAACATTCTTAGAGTTGACATCTGTACTAAGGCCACTTATTCACACTCAACTGAATTTGTGAGCTATCCGGCTGAGAGACAATGTGTCTATTCAGGAAAGAGAAAAGATTTTTGCTTTTAGTTTCTAAAATGTCTCCCAAATCCCAGGTACCTCAAAAACTTTTTTTTATTAAGACTAGTAAAGAAATATCTAAGAGTACACTTTGCCCACATTGCCACAAAAAGCTAAACAACCTTCTAATATTTATACTGAGAAATTAGCTGCATGGCTAACACCATGCTCTGCCCCAAGAACATCGTGGGATCCCAGTCACCTGATGGTTTTCCAAAGCACTATCTATCATGTATGCTTGGCTTGTAGATCAGTACTCAGAACTAAGTGTTATTAGCCAGATGTAAATGGCCAGTAATATTAATTCTCAGCATTATCATTTGCATTATTTTCCTTTCTGTTCACTATCTCATATTTTGGACCCCAAAGCTCCTAAATTCAAGACAAATTACATTTCATTTATCTGTACCCAAACTGATGTGTAAACTGCAACCTACAATGATGAAAACTATTCCCCCTCTGGTGGCCAAAGTTATGAAAGTGAATTTCAGCCATCTTAAGATAAATACTGTCTCACCCGTAATATATTTAACATATCTGTTTATATGTACCTGAGAAGTACAGTTTAATTAAGATTTATATGAATTTCTCATTAATTATGAGTGTTTCACATTTTAAACTAATAATACTTTGGATTCACAAAGAACCTTTTGTTGAACAATTTCAAAGTATGCTCAGACATTTCCCCCTTTCTCACTCATATTCCAGTGAAGAGAAGGGAAATTGAATATTTTATAGAAGAAAGTGTGGCACAGAGAAGGTAAGTGTATTGCCACAGTTCAGTAAATCAGCAAGGGCTTGATTTGACTCACTTTTTCTACTCCTCAGTCCTTACATATCACCCTTGGAGATAAATGTGTAGAATTGGTGAAATAAAGATGACATTGTTTATAAATACAAATGTTCCAGTAGCGTTAACTATAGTTGGTGAGCTTTGCTACAATTTTAAAGATGGATGGTTCATTTTATTAACTACTGCATCAGTTCAAGTCAACAAAAAAGAAGTGTTCCTTGGGCAGACACTTAAAACATTTGATCCAAAAAGTTTATCAAGGTATTTTCCCCCCACATTAGAGAGGATGTATAGACATACTCTGATGTGATTTCTAGGAAACTTACCATAGGATAAAAATGCTAAACCAATTTTGGGGGCTTCTTGACAAGGTAAAAATAGGGAAGAGGAGGAAATTAAAGATACTGCAGAGAGATCACTACAGAGAGAATGTAAACTTGGGGCCCATGGTAAAGAGACACTGGAATTGGTGGAAAGCAAGAAGAAAAGAAAGCAAAGGAAGAACAGATTTTTTCCCCTAAACTACAATAGTTTTGCATTTCTATACAAAAACCTTATGGCATAAGATATTAACAATAGCTAACATTTATATAGCACATTAAGATTTGTAAAGGGCTTTACACATATTAGCTCATTTGACTCTCACAGCAACTCTCTGAATTAGGGGCTATCATTAATCATTAATCTCATTTTACACGTGTAGAAACTGAGGCTGAGAAAGGTTAAGTGACTTGCCCCAAGTCACACAGATATTAAATGTCTGAGAAAGGATTTGAACTCAGGTCTCCTTAAGTCTACATTCTGTGCCATAACCACTAAAGAAGGCAGCATAGCAGAAAGTTCTGGATTCAGAGGACTCGAGTTCAAAACTTTCCACTAACAATATCTGTGTGACCTTCGATGAATAATTTACTTCCCCAGGCCTCAATTTCATTATTTGTCAAAGAAGGGGATATGATTAGATGCCCTCAGAGGATCCTTCCTGTCCTAGACTTGGGATCCTAAGAAGGACTAAGGAAATAGTTGAAAGACAAAAGGAATCTTGAGGCATTGGCACTAGGTTAGTTGAAATTTATTCTCTTTGAATCAGAAATGAAAAATGTAAACATACCCTCATAAAGCTGAGCATATTGTGGAAATCCAGCAGCCCGCAACCAGTCACATGCCTCCTTTGCTTCAATTTCTGGAGGGTAGAAAAAAAAACACACAGAAAATATGAATCAAAAAGTCACAAAGTTTCATAAAACTTTATTCATTGAAGGAAAAAAGAACAATAAGTTATTATGCCTATTATTAACACAATTATACAAATGATTCCCCAGTAAACTGTAGAGTGAAAGCAAATAACTATGTACAGAGATGGGTAAGGAATGAGTTCATATCATGAATTGCTTTAAGAAGCCTATTATAATCTCCACAAATATTTTGAGCATAAGAAGACAACAAAATAGCCTCTTAAGAACATAAAAGCTGGGTCTGCACCAGTGGGACAAAATGTGTTATTTACCACAACACCAGAGACTTGGAAGACTGAGTATGAGGAAATGCATTACTATTACAATGTAAGATACTGTCTCTCTGTACTAGGACTATTAAAAAAAAAAGTAAGCTTTGAACCTGAAAACTAGAGATAATGATACTTTGTCCTTCCCTTCTTTGTTTCTTTACTCCTAGGAATATTGAGAGGATAAAAGTAGATAATCTATGTGAAAATACTTTTGAGTTCTCACGAATAAAGGTGCTACAGAAATTCAAGTTGGCATCGTATTTGTTGGATTACTGTTACTGTTCACTTGGTCAAAACACATTATAACAATATGGGGATTAGATAAGTATATGAAAAAGATACAGCATTTTCCCCATGCACTAGAAAAGCACACTATAAAGGTCCCATCCTGAGTCAACAGAAAGCTCAGAGTGGCTGCCAGCCCTATGGTCCGTCTTTCTGGTGACCATTTTCAGCACTGACACACTAAAGGATCGTTGAACCACCTGCCTAGAGAAACTGTCTTGTGAAACAACAGAATACTTCAGTATGTGAAATAGGGCACTTTTTGACCTCCTGAATCCTGGATCATTTCCTAACCACAATCCTGTTAGATAAATACAAATGTAAGCAAACAGAAATTCATCCATCAAAGCCCATTTTTTCCAAACAAGATTAGACAGCCAATTATAACAGTTCTATAACAAGTCCCCTTCCTCCAATGCTTGGATGAATCATTGTCAGATCACTGTACTTGCATACACTTTGACGTGAGTTTTTCTCTATAGTCATAAGCCAGAGAGTACACAAGGTCCTTGGGACTGCTGCTTTAAAAAAAAAAAAAAAAGTGACAAACCCTTACGTAAGACAGCGTGTCTGTGTTGAAAGGTAGAGATATCTGTACAGTACTCTGTTTCAACCTGACAGAGTTATTTAGAATATGTTAAGCAAACAAAACAAAGGGCAGATACTAACCCTTACTGGGAAAAGCCTGGATAGAAACCATAAAAGTTCAAGGTAACTCACATTCATAGCCTCTCTGATCTAGCTAGAGCCAGGCTGAATCTGTCAAAGAAGGATGGCCAATTCAAGGATGTATGCAGCCTGTGAAAGTCTCTGCCTCAAAGCAGCAAGTTTTATGAGAGAAGTAATGGGATTTTAGGGGATCAAGTGCTGGGTATGGTGCCAGAAGACCTGGGTAACTGTGCTGTCTTAAGCAAATCAATTAACCTGACTCTCCGTTTCCTCAACTGTTTTTGTATCTTTGAAAGAGGAAAAAGAGATTTCACTTTGATTACTACACACAAATATTTGAGATGCATTGCAGGAAATGCACAATCTGATTGTAACTCATGGAGGGAGAGGGGTTGATGATTCATTTCTTAGTCACTGAAATTTGAATATTTTAAAAATATGACTGAGGAGGTGGTAATGAGGAAATAACTGTTCAATTTCTTAACATGTCCTGAACTTAAGAGAAGGTCACCATGTCTGAGATAGAGCCAGAAGACTGTGTGGAAAGATAATTTTCCCTTTTGTACCATTTAAAATATGCTGTTAGGCAACAGGATTTCTGACAGAGACAGGATCATAGAGTTACAGATCTAGATTTGGGAGGAATTTTGGAGACCATCTCGTCTAAACTCCTAATTTTAGAGTAGGGGAAAATGAGGTCCAGATAGGCAAAGTCCCAAAAGCAGTTATCAGCTTAAAAGAGACTGAAAAGGGAAAGGCAGTGGCTTGAATAGAACAAAGAAAGGGTCCAAACAGACAAGGGAGCAGAAGGAAAGAACAGACTATTATCCAGAGATGAAAGGAAACTTTTCCTAGAGAAGATTAAGGAATGGGAAGGGATAGGGTGTCAAGGGAGGGCCAGGTAAAGATAGCTAGGCAGATCATTGTACTTTGGGAGGATCACAGATTTAGAACCAGGAGAGGCTTCAGATGTCATCTAGTCATCTACACTTTTTTAGATGAAGAAACTCGGGCTCAACAAGGTCAGGTGTTTGCCCAAGGTCACATAGGAAATAAGTGACAGACCTGGGTTTTGGACTTGGGCTCTCTGACTCCACATCCCTTCATTATGCTGTACTGCCTTGCCTCACTAAGCTCCTTATAGAAAAGTAGCTCTCAAATTTTTTAACTTAAAATTTTATTTATTCTGAATTTAAACAGAGAACATTTCCATAGGCAAAGAACAGAAAAAGAAGATTATATTAGAAACCACAAATCACTATTACATTCAGCTTATTTTTTTAAAGTAAATAAATTCAACATTACTTTCAAATCTGTCCCGCTTGTCTGTGTTTCCCTCTGAACTTCAAAAGAGGCTTTTTAAATCGAGCATCCCAGCTGGCTAGTGACATACACTTTAGATAAGCCATAATACCTTGATAATTCAACTTAAGGGAGTAATAATTAGTGACACAAACATAATAATTCAACATAATTAGCCACTATCAAATTTGATTGTGGACCATGAACTTGAGTTGGAAAAAGCCCTGCCATTCCTTCTAATTATGTAACCATTTACAACACCTTCCAATAATATCTGAATTAATGCTTTATTTTAGGGTATATCACCCTAGGTTCGCAAAACAAATTTGAGGGTTAAAAAGAAGATGACATTATTACCAGTATCAGCATTTCAAATGACATTTCAGGAGAATAACTTAAAAAATTCTTGTTTTTTATTGTACACTAAGTAGCTAGCACAATATATAAAATGCTTTAAGAGCTATTAAAGGTCACATTTTGACAGTTTTATTTGTTCCCTCCTTATAGCACATACAACTGCCTCTGTAGCAGCCAAAGTGCCATGACAAAAGAAAGCTACTCAGCACTTTTGCTCCTGAGAGTTTACTGCTGGATGCTAAATACAGCACGGCACTCTGAAACCACACCTATGTCAACCTTGGTTCATGTTTTGCCTTGCTGGAACCAGTTTCATTTATTTGAGCCTAGGACCTCATAACACTAAGCTCACCACTCTGGAGGAATACTTTCCTTCCCTTCTGAGCAACTGGAATTTCCCCTGGGGAGAGAAGGAAAGTATTCCTTATATGGATTTTGCTATTCTCCTAATATCTGTTGTATTCCTCTACCTTGAGGCTTCAACCACAGGCTCCTGTCATCAGCAGCTTCATTAAATCAATAATATCTACCACAGACCTTAAGACTTATGGGAAAGGGGGAAGAAGTGGGATGGATCAAAATGTTTGCCCTTGGTAAAACACTGAACTTCTGAGAGCTCTATTTTCACTTGACCTCTCTTCTGCTGAAAAGGAGTGGCTCCGCAGTCTAAGCAAAGAAGTTAATGCAGAGAGAAGATGGGTGAAGTTCCACTGACGCTAGGTCATGACCGACTGAAAAATGAAATGCTTAGCTTTCTCAGCGCAACACCCTACAACCCATTTGATTTTGTTCCCCGATGAATTTCGCAGAATTGACTCAGTTTTACATTCTAGCGGCTGCTCTGCCTCTTGCTTTCTACTTATAAAGAAAGTAACCAAACCCTTCTATGACACAGTTTCCTCATCTGGTTCACTGGGAATACGATGTTGACTTCCACATATGAGGCATAAAGTCCGACTCTGAACACTGTGAGAGACAGCTGCTGCCTCATGCTGTGTCTGTCTAATGAAGTCCTCAGGGGCTGGGCATTTGGATTTGTTTATTCCATTATATTAATGAGAAGAAGATCATAGAATCTTGGAAATAAAAACCTTAGATAATACTCTGGCTTTCTTAATTTTTTTCCTCAGAAGAATGGTTACTTGTAGTTTAAGTAAGCAATTTATAACGTAGCCTGATTTTTAAATATTGCTAAGTGTGTGTGTCTGTGTTACTAATAGGAATCCAGAATATCAAGAGCAGAATTAAAGTATAACTCAAGAGAATGTAAAATAGTAGAAACTCACTAATTCAGATGAAATAGGGAAGAGAAAATCTAATCAAAACTTATAAAAATCTGGTTTATAGTATATTTTTTAAAAGAAAGGCTGTTTTATTTACTTTCAGATATATAGATTTTATGTAGTGGGGCTGCTATATATACATATGTATGTATGTATATATCATGTATGTCTCTATATATAGGGCAACTGGGTGGCACAGTGGATAAAAGTGCTAGGTTGAAAGTCAGGAAGACTCCTCTTCCCGAGTTCAAATCTGGCCTCAGACACTTACTAGCTGTGTGACCCTGGGCAAGTCACCTAACCCTGTTTGCTTCAGTTTTCTCATCTGTCCAATGAACTGAGGAAGGAAATGGCAGATCACTCTAGTATCTTTGTCAAGAAAATCCCAAATGGGGTCATGAAGAGTCAGACACGACTGAAATGACTAAACAACAAACATACAGATAGAAACACATACATATATAAATTTGTGATATAAGAAAAATAAATATAAGTAATTACAGAATATACACATAATATCTATAGATGTATGCACTGGGCATTACAAAAGTCAGTGCAGTTTTAAGCTATTAAACCTTGAACAAAATATTGCATAGCAAAGATCTTCTAATTAAGAGAAAACACCTAACTAGACAAGTAGCTAATAGAAAGTGGGCTGGTGTTAGATTCAAAAGTGCCAGACTTGAGTCTTGTTTTCATACCTACTAACAATGTGAAACTGGTTAGTTCACATCACCTTTTTGACCCTCAGTTTCCTCATTCGTAAAATGGGAGTAATAA